GATCTTCCAGCTCCCGTTTGCTGACTTCTCCTTTAACTAATTCCACGAGATATGGTTGAGCCCAAAACGTCGGAAGCTCTCAGTGGAGCAGGCTCACCCTCAAAAGGACACCACACCTGTAGACCCTAAACCCTAAGCCCTAAGCCCTAAGCCCTAAGCCCTAAGCCCCAAACCCTAAACCCTAAACCCTAAACCCTAAACCCTAAACCCTAAACCCTAAACCCTAGGCTCGCAAGAGGTGCTGTCCGCGGCCCGGGCACAGGACTCCCCCAGGGGAGCCCCAGCACAGTCAGTGTTCTCACAACCAGCCCTATATGGGTTTAGGGTTTAGGGTTTAGGGTTTAGGGTTTAGGTTTTAGGGTTTAGGCGGTTTAGGGCTTAGGGCGTAGGGTTTCGGGTTTAGGATGATAGGGGGACCCTTCGGCGGGGAAAAGGTTCCTAGAACAAGGATTGTAGCACTGTAGCCTTTTGCGCTGCGTGAGGGCGGGCCCCTGTGTGGGGAAATGCCCATTTCGTAAGCCCCAAACCCTAAATCGTAAACCCGAAACCCTAACCGCGGACCCTTATGTTGGGTAAATGCCCATATAGTATACCCTAAACCCTACAATCTTACACCCTGAACCCAAACCCTTAGCCCTAAACGCCCAAACCCCAAGCCCCAAACCCCAAACCCTAAACCCTAAACCCCAAACCCTAAACCCTAAACCCTAAGCCGGAATTGGGGGTGGAAGATGGCTGCCATTCCGATCTTCAGGGATGCTTTGGGATGCTCAGGGCCTGAGAATTTTCAGGGTTGGGCTTTCGGAGTTCAGGGTTGAGGGTTGAGGGTTGAGGGTTTAGGGTTTAGGGCTTGGGGTTTTAGGAGTTTCGGGTTTTACGGGGTACTTTGGTTTTTGGATTTGGGGTTTAGGGCATCTACGGTCTTAGGGCTCTTTGGGTTTCAGGGTTTGGGATTTTGGGGCTCCTGGTTTTTTTGGGTGTGCGGGGGATGACCCGGGGACCTGTCAACAACCTGCTGCCTGCATACAGAGGCTTCACATGGTTTGATTTTTTTGGTGAGTGTATGTATGGCTCCCTGCAAGCAGTGGTGAGGGTATATACCGTGTGTATGTATGTATATCTTCTTCTTATTATTATTCGTATTTCTCGACTTATTTATACAAGGCGTGTTTCCTTTTTTGGGGCATACCCTCATATTGAGACATAACCTTCTTCATCTGCCTTTAAAATACCCAGGCCTGTCATATGAGAACACGCCTAAGTCGGAGTTAGGTCTTGCTGTCCACTGTGCTTGCCGGCAGGCCGAAGCAAAAGAAAGCCCGGCTCAGGCTTAGGGTTGGTATTGATAGGGTTATGGCCACGACAACACTTCTTCTCAAAGGTCTCCTACAAATGTCAGGCATACACTCCTGAAAGCCGCATGGACCCTAAACCCTAAACCCTAAACCCTAAACCCTAAACCCTAAACCCTAAACCCTAAACCCTAAACCCTAAACCCTAAACCCTAAACCCTAAACCCTAAACCCTAAACCCTAAACCCTAAACGGCCCTAAACCCAATGTTACATGCGGCCCGATCACGGCGCAGGTTCCCCATGAAAATCCTGCTCAAGCAGCGGCCGAGCTGAGGCCAGGAAGGTCTCCAGAGCCTTCCGTGCGTCTGAGGCGCAGTTACGGGCCTCATCTGCATGTCCCTGCAGCTTCTTCTCCAGTGTGATGCAGTGGCCCCACCACGTGACGGAGAAGAAATGGAGGAAGCGCAAGTCTTCCAGCAGCTTGCACAGCATTCCCCGCTCTGGGATGCGGGACTTCCGATCCCCGAGCCACGAGGCGCAGATATCCGGCTCCTTTGTAGCCCAGTAGAACCATCTTGCAATAAGGGGCACCCTTTTTTTGGGGGTTGGTTGCTTTATATGGGGAACCTTGACCTTGAACCCAAAAAAAAGGGGAAAAGGGGTACCACGGGGCTACCAAGGCTCTCTTGGGCCCCAGCTCACGTTTTCCCAGTCGATGATGCCTGTGAGCTTCCCCGACTCTGGGTCGCACATCACATTCCCAGGGTGCAGATCCCCATGGCAAACTCCGAAGTCAGCACAGGCGTCCAAGATGGATTCTGGTGTTGCTTCATACTTGGCTCGGTAGTGGAGGATGAAACGTCTCACCTCGGCAAGGGACGGGAGCATGTCCTCTCGGTCGACTTCCCAGCCAGCGGCAGCATCTTCCTTGATCCGAGCTACCTTGGTTGCTCTTTTGGGATTCTTCGTAAAAAAATCTCCTAGACAAGTGCCAAAAAAGCTTACAAGAACCCCGCCTTCCCCTCCCCCTCCTCCGAGACACCTCCTCTGGCCGGGCTACCCACCCGACCCCCCCAACACCCCCAAAAGGCAAAACTCTGCAAGAGATACGGGGGCCGCCGGAATCAGGGGGTCCTTATTCGAAGGGAATCCTACTATTTGTAGGTCTCCCTCATTTTCGTAAACCCCCATATTATGAGGTTTGGGAACCGGAACGCCACTGAGACATGGTGCCGTTGGGAAGGCAGATTCGTAAGCCGAGCCGCGACGTCATCCAGCGCTTCCAGTGCAAAGGCCGCAAAGCCGTCTCTCAGGGGCAGCGGGGGTCCTCTGGCGAAGGTAAGAAAAGAAGCCTAGGGTCTAAACCCCAAAACCCCAAACCCCAAACCCCAAACCCCAAACCCTAAACCCCAAACCCTAAACCCCATTTCCAAACCCTAAACCCCCCGCCCTTTCCTGTATTTGCAAGGGATCCGCGAGCCCAAAGCCTCTAAACAAACAAAGGGCAAAAAAGGGGTTTAGGGTTTAGGGTTTATAAGGGTTTAAGGGTTTAGGGGTTCAAGGGTTTAAGGTGTTTAAGGGGTTTAAGGATTTAAGGGTTTAAGGGTTTAAGGGTTTAAGAGTTTTTGGGTTTCAGGGTAGGGTTTAGGGGTACTGCTAGGCGTCCCAGGGTCCGTTGACAGCCCATTCCACCCCTGTGGTTGCTCCATCTCCTCAGTTGAGAATCTATCGGAATGAGAAATAAACTACGGGGAGGTGGAGTTTAGTGGCTGGGGTTTGCCGCAAATTTTGGGGGAGGGGGGGCTGCTAGGCCTTGGCTTGGGTTCGGGGTTTTGAGAGCCTTGGTGGAATAGGGGGCTTCTAAGGGGGGGGGCAGCGCAGAAGTTGAGAGAACCCTAAAACCTAAAACCTCTAAACCTCTAAACCTCTAAACCTCTAAACCTCTAAACCTCTAAACCTCTAAACCTCTAAACCTCTAAACCTCTAAACCTCTAAACCTCTAAACCTCTAAACCTCTAAACCTCTAAACCTCTAAACCTCTAAACCTCTAAACCTCTAAACCCTAAACCCTAAACCCTAAACCCTAAACCCTAAACCCTAAGCCCTAAGCCCTAAACCCTAAACCCTAAACCCTAAACCCTAAACCCAGAGACCTGTGCTTCTAAATTTCGGGGCGAGGCGCCCTGTATCCGGAAGCCGGACACCTGCTGCAAGGCTCCTGGGCACTTCAGGGTCCCAACCGCCTGGAGCCAGGTGGCCAGCTGGCTGATGTAGCCTAGGGTTTAGGGTTTAGGGTTTAGGGTTTAGGGTTTAGGGTTTAGGGTTTAGGGTTTAGGGTTTAGGGTTTAGGGTTTAGGGTTTAGGGTTTAGGGTTTAGGGTTTGGGGTTTAGGGTTTAGGGGTTTAGGGTTTAGGGGTTAGGGTTTAGGGTTTAAGGTTTAGGGTTAGTGCTTAGGGTTTAGGCAAACTAGCCCCAGGCGTAACCTAGGAATAACAGGTGCCCTTTTTTGGTTTTAAGGGGGTCATAAGGGAACCCCAAACCCTAAACCCTAAACCCTAAACCCTAAACCGTAAACCCTAAACCCTAAACCCTAAACGTAAACCCTAAAACCTAAACCCTAAACCCTAACCAACAATTGAAAAAAAATAAGGGCCTACTCCGGATCCTAGTAGCTCTGCCGCTGCTCCTCCGACGCCGAGTCAAGGATGCTGTCAAGCCCAACCCCCGGAACCCGTTCCATGAGGAGGTACTCCTTGGTAGTAGGGGGGGGGGTTTAGGGTTTAGGGTTTAGGGTTTAGGGTTTAGGGTTTAGGGTTTAGGGTTTAGGAATTAGGGTCTAGGGTTTAGGGTTTAGGGAAAGGGACTCCTTGGGTGGCCCAGTGACCATAATAGAATCAGGGCAGCCGTTGTCTTTTTGCGTTGGCTACTGTAGAAGGGTACCTTGAACCCTACCTGGACCCTCCAGGGGACTAAAATATTAGTCGTTGTTTGAAAAAGCATGAATTTAAGTCGCTGCTCAGGAAATTCGTTCTTCGATGAAAAAAGTGCTCTCGCCATGTTTGGGCAAAGCGTGGCAAAGCAGCGGTCGGCAAAAAGCGCGTTTCGGCCGGGAAAGAGCGCGTTTCGGTCGGCAAAGAGCGCCGTCACCAAACATGAGCCCAGGTCTCATTCTGCACCCGAAAAACGCTCGAGAACACAAATTTTAGTTCTCGGACACGAAAAAACGGTTATCTTCAAAAAAACAGAAATTTTAGCCTCCTCGGCATCTCCAGGTAAACCCTAAACCCTAAACCCTAAACCCTAAACCCTAAACCCTAAACCCTAAACCCTAAACCCTAAACCCTAAACCCTAAACCCTAAACCCTAAACCACCTTGAACCCCCAAAAAAAAGGGCGCAAAAGAATTCCGCAGAACCGCCAAGATTCGGCGCCTAGCTCCGAAGACCCGGTGTCTGCAGACCAGCCGAGGACCTCGGGTATGAGCGGGACGCCCTTTTGCCGAAGGAGGCGCATGGCGGCCACTTTGCTCTCCGTGTTCCGGGCCTTGCGCCAGGCGTGCGGGTTGGAGACCTGGAGGATGAGGGCCCTCATCCTCCCGGCCTTCTCCCGGACGGACAGGGCCCAGTTGGGGTTCACGTTGAAGGGCCTGGCGGTGCAACCCTCATGCTCCCCAAAGGTACAGCCGGGTTCCCCTTCCGGAAGGAAGTCGAAGGTCAGCAGCTCCTTAGTGGCCCAGGAAGGGTTTAGGGTTTAGGGTTTAGGGTTTAGGGTTTAGGGTTTAGGGTTTAGGGTTTAGGGTTTAGGTTTTAGGGTTTAGGGTTTAGGGGTACCACTGGGCTACCAAGGCTCAAGGCCCAAGGACGCACAGAGCGCAGACACCTTGGGCTCGGTGACGGCCGAGAGCACGCGCTGCACCTCCGCTAGCTGCTCCTCCACACCTGGGTGTGTGGGCCGTGACCACGCGGAACCTGCAGTCTCCATGGCTGTTTTTGTCTTTCCTTCTTTTCGCTGCTTCGCGCTGTGCTGGGAGCCTTCTCTCGCTACGCGGGTATACTACATGCCAGGAGGAGTGCTGTAGTCATCAGCCGCAGCTAACTTGTGTGTGTGTATTGCTTGAATTGCTTGCGCTTCATGGGACACGCCCGGAATCGCCAGCTTGGGCCAAAATTCTGCATAATTCGGACAGACCCTTTGAACTTGCGCACGCGCATGGGCAGTGGGGCTTAATCATATCGCACTTGATTCTCCGCGACCTACACCGTGAAGTGCTGATGACGTTCTCACCTCGCCGGGAGTGTCCCGGAACCCGCCTCTCTGTCCTCCTTCAGTTGCTGCGAGGCGAACTCTAGAGAAAGGCCGTTGAGGTCAACGGCTGCCAGGACGACCTGCTTGCAGTTCTGGTATGCACTTTCTCAGGCTGACGTCATATGTAATCAGCGGATGAATCTGTCTACTCTGCGCTTCAACATTTCGAGGCGACATCTATGACCTCTGCGTTGCAGCCTCAGAAGCCAACCAATCAACGACCCCCCTAAACCCTAAACCCTCAACCGTAAACCCTAAACCCTAAACCCTAGACTCCTAAACCCTAAACCCCTCGCAAAGGAGCAAATCGGGGGGGCCTTTCGATCGCAGCGCAGGGCGGGAGATGCAAACTGAAATGCCTCCAGGGGGCGACGGTAAGTACAACTTTTGGGCTTGTTCTCACGCAGAAAAACCGACTGTCTGGGGCTGTAGGGAGTCACGGGACCTTCAGGGCACCTGATGTTGAAGCAAGGTCAAGTCCTGAACCCTAAACACCAAACCCTAAACCCTACCCCTAAACCCTAAACCCAGAACCCTAAATTCCTGAATTCAGTGGTGCATGGGCTCCCAAGTACTCCAAGAGCCTGGCTGCCCGAAGCCACCGCCGCCAAGACCAAGTCCGTATTTCCTTGAAGTCTTGTGGAGGCAAAACGCAGCGCATTTCCTGAGCTCTGCACCTTCGAGACCCCAAACCCTGAACCCTGAAACCTGAACCCTAAACCCTTTAACCCTAACCTGCGTTTTTTCTGGCTGTCGATGCGTGCAGCTCCGTGCATGCGCCCATGGACGCTTTGAAGCTTTGCAAGGATGCGCTGAATTACTAACTGGTTCTGTGCAAGTGCGAAAAAAGCTTGATTTTTGTGAGTCCCCAAGCTGTTATGGCGTCACCTATGAGCGACTTTTGCAGGTTCGTTTCCACTAACATTGAAGTGAGTCTTGGATGGCGCAGGACCTATCAATGTGCCCTGCGCCCCTGTATGAAATATTGAAGTGTAATGCAAAATCGAAGGGTATCAACAACTGTCTTATATAAAGCCACACACCCACACACGCACACGCAAACGCACACGCACACACGCGCAGCCTGAGCAACTGAGACTAAGACTTTACGTGAGCGGAAGAATCGTGCCCGCGTAGAGAGCAGCTGCAGACGACACGCATAATCAAACGTTGAAGCATGCACACACTGCTGCAGAAAACAATGCCTGCATGTTGGGACGTCCGCCGATCACCTCGAGAAATCAAACAGATGGGTTCGACGACAACACACAATGCTCATTCCATTACGCTATCAGTCCCAAGACTCCCACGTCAGGGCACTGCCCGTGCCCAAAGTGGGGTACGCGGGCGCCCTAAGTTTCGCATCAGCATCGACTCAAAAACAATCACTCCCCACAAGCAACCAGCCTCTGGCAGCGGTTTTGTCAGTCCTACACGCAGCACGAGAACTAAGAAACCACAAAGAAAGGCAGAATTCGCTCCATTGAAACGACAACGAAACCAGCCTCGTCGACCCATGCACCGCA